AATCTTATGATGAAAATGTTTTTACGTTTAGTTCTTTACCCTGCTTGAAGTGAAAGTTCTTTAGTTTTCACCATCAACATTATTGAGCATCGAACCAGCGCCAGCCTGCACTTCCCTACAGTCTAACCAGGCTCCTTATAGGGTCCATGTAGCTCAATTTTTGTATTTTGAAAAATTTAATCTATAAAAGTATTATTATAATTAATGGACTGTTCCAAATTGAAAGCAGGAAAAATCCTTCAGGTTAGATATTTTAATAATAATGATTGAAGCTATACGAAGTTCCAAAATATGCTTCTTGCTTTTAGTTTCATGGCCTAGCTAAATCTGCAATATTTAATTATTCAAAATTTCCTAGTTAATCTGCAATGTGTCATAGACAGTACTGGTGTATATACCATCAACTAAGGTGAGGTGTATTTAAATTATGAAAGCTAGGGCAAATACTAGTCTGTTACAGAACTGGTACTGACTTTAAAAGTTTATTAGTCGCCGGTAGAAACCGGCGACTATATTTGTAATAGTTTAATATTATACCTATGGTAGGAGAAGTCCTTAAAATCTGAAAATAAAAGCATATCAATCATTGAACAATTAAAGACAACAATTATTTTTCAGTAATCACAAAAAATCAAACATATGATAACTTTGCTCAGTGGAATGAAATATGCACATATTGACGTCTTAAAAAGCAACATTACAATTTTCATAAAATGAATCAATAACGTATCCCCAAGGATCAGTCATTGAATATTAGAGATACTATTACTTTTTTCTATGTGTCAAGCATTGCTATTTTATAATAAATAAATCATGAATGATATTTGAAATGACTCTTTAGAAATATTTGGTTGTTTATTTTTTATGAGACCTTTTATATTACATTATTTTATCTAATTATAAACAAATGCTCCTGGTCTTTCGTAAGAAATCACGTGACTACATGTTTATATATGTTGTATATCGTTATAAAATCTATTAATAGTAACAGATTGCTGATAAGACAGGTAACTTGTTAATGGTGGTTACTGATAAGATGTAAATCATTGTAATTTTATACAGATAATTACATAAGTTATTTTTCATTAATCAGGTTCATACTTCATATCATTAGAGAAACCTGTTTACTTTAAAAATACATTTTCAAAACCTTTTCCTTTCTTCTTGGTAAAGGGTTTAACTTGGCCCTTTCTGTCAAACATTCGACAAGAAAGTTCAATTGTTTAGTTTAGGTTGAACATCCCAAAATAATGTTATGCTTAAGAGGCACATTATTGTATTATTAATAGTAATCGTTGATTTCGGTATATTCCGTCGGTTTCCGTCACGCAGGTTTCCAAAACGGTATGACGTCAGGGGTCCGGAATCGTATTTGATACATAGAAAAAAATAATAAACTATCTTTGTGTTGATAGTTTATCGCACTGAAAGGCAATTAAACGTTAAGTAATAGTTATAGTATATGAAACGAGTTAGTTACGAGGGTATAACACTGGCTGGGGCGACATCAAGGGGTGTTTCTGCTAAAAAATGGCGAGGCCGCTTGGCCGAGACAATTTTTTTTGCAGAAACATCCCGAGATGTCGCCCCAGCCAGTGTTATACCCCCGTAACTAACGAGTTTCATATACTATAACTGTTTTATCGCAATGGCATAATGTTTTCTTTTTGTATAGAAACAAATAAATAAATTAATCGTTAGCTACATTACAGTTATTTATCATAAGGCAGTTTTTCAAGTTGTTTTCGCTGCCGCAAAAAAAATATACAAAAGACATCCAATATAAGAGGCGGATTGTAATTAAACTGTTACCAAGATTGATTTAAGATTAAAGGGCTTTTTTATTTCATTTATTATCTTTGTCTATATTTTTCATTGTATTTATATATTTATTTTATTTTATTGATTTCATTTTTTTATTAGTTAATGTTTTTTTGCTAGTGGAAATGGTCGTTACCACTGCCCCATTGGAGCCTCTATGAAAAAACTGTATTGATATATACAAGGTGCGAAAAAAACTCGACCGATATATAACAGTCGAGTTTTTTTCCTATATGAATCAAAGAAAAAACTGTACTGTTATATATCAATACAGTTTTGAAATGCTCATTGAAGTGTACTGAGTATAATGGGTTAGAAAGAACAAAGGAAAAGCTCACAGCCATGCGATAATTTTATATATCTATGTAACGATTGGAATACGTGTATTGATTTCAACTAAATTATATATTTTTTCTATAGCACATAATAATGATGTACAACACTTTTACAGTAAAATTGTATTGTTTCATGTAATAATTAAACATATCTATTTTCATAGTCACTTTGCAAATATTCGATGATCGGTAATTATTTGTCGGTAATTATCTGAATCTGAACTAGTAACCTATACGGATTTCAATGTATGGTACAACAGTATATGTATAAAGTATAATTACAAGAAGATTACCAGCATAGCACTTGCCTTACAAGCCTCAGTGGCAAACATTACTCAACTCATTGTTCCTCTTATTTTTATACTTGAACCATTAAACTTATATTTTCTTATATTTATGATAATATATATACAATCATTTTTCTATCCGGCGACTTGATGCTTTAGCATCAAAATCTCTACTTGTAATAACTGTCAGTATATATGCCAGAAGGCCGAGATGAATTAGAGATAAGAGCAAGCCAAACATTCTGTTGATGCACACACAAGTGTATAATCAGTAACTAATCACATGTCAAATTATGTGTAATAGAGGAAAACCTACACATACATGTGTTGTAACACTGGTACATGTCAGACAACTATCAGCCTAATATCACACAGATTTCTTCATATAAAATCATCAAAATCTTACACACTTACAACACTTTAATTCATAAACCAGCAGAGATGGGTTGATTCTAGGGGGAAAAACTTTCTATATTCTAGTGGCAAATATTTCCAAATCTCTACAGCAGACAGTTGGAAGACCTTGAATTTTGTACATGATTTACAAGAGCACTATACTGCTTCTGTATAAACACTATGCAGAAAAATGTTGGAGAAAAAAATAATAATTCCAGCAATCTATGTTTTCATACAACATGAAACTGGTTATTAAAGAAATATTGTGATCTTATTTTTGCAATACCTGTGTACAGTAAAGAAAACTATGTTACTTGCAGGTAAACAAGTTTGGAACTTTAAGAACTATAATTATGAGGAAAAAAATACAAAGTTACAAAAGTCCATCTGTTTTTGAAAACCTCCACAGTAAAGTGCATAAAATTCAATAATGTATTATATAAGAAATATAACGAAAAATGCTGACTTAGGCCTACTGCCAAGTGTTTGGTTCTATATAAACTGATGTGAATTCCCAGGTAATTGGTTTTTCTACTCCACCCTCTATCAGTGAAATAGATTGTCTATCAGCAGGTTTTCAGGAAACACACTAACATGTGTAAGATGAATGTTTACTTATATATATCAATTTCTGTGTGGAAATATGCCTAAAATTAACATCAGCAAATAATTGATTTCTATCATAATGACCACTACAAACTTTACAAGGAAACCTTCTCCTCTCTTCCAATGATGTTAATTTTTGTATTTCTTATAGTTACTAACTTATACAGTTACCAAGAAAAGTACATTATGTAATAGAAAGAGCATCAAAACACGAGGCTATCTGATTTGTACGAGGGGGCATAGCCTCTCTTTTGTATCATAGTCAAATAAGGGTGTAACGGTTTACGGGTATACCGATATATTGCAATATGAAAAAATAAATTTCGAACCGCGGTACGATTTTTGGAAAACCGGTATTTTATAAAAATCATCATTTTCAATTAATTGCCTTCTAATTTTGTACAAATTTCACATAAAATCTTTAATTGGCAAATTTTGTTGGCGCCAACGTAAGATAAAAGTATCCGACAACTAGTACACTTAAAAGTCAATAAGCGGCCGCATAATTTACATAAGCGGCCCAGATGTGAAAGGTCACACGCGACTAGTTTTGTTTATCAAATTGTGTGACACTACTTTCTATTTATTCCTTACATTTTTATTAAGTTTCTACTAAAAATATATACATCTAATAATAATATGTAAATGTTACTCCATCTTTACATCAAAACATATACACGACAATACGTATTGCAATATATTGCAATACGCTTCAGCAAAATGGCAATATATTGCAATACGGTTTTTGCTGTATTGTTACACCCCTATAGTCAAACATAAAAACATGTTCCCTGTTATCACAGTATGAAACCCCAGAAAAGTAACCAATGAACGAGCACCTGAATATGATATTTCTGTCGCATTCCCTTTCTCTGTCGTCACAATAAGTAAACCCCAGCAAAAATGAGCCAATCAATGGGCATGCTCTGTAGTATGGGTAACTGATACCTGCACTCCAGTTACCGCACTGTGCATGTATATGTATACGATTAAACTCTGACACATTTTCAACAGAAAGGTCCCGAAACTATGATACAAATAAGGTTAGGAGCTCCACTGAGGTCAAAGTCTTAACACACAATTTTTAATTGATACATAGATCAAGTGAAGCACTTAAAATGAATAAATCTACAATAGATAATAAGAAATATACTAAGAACTTAATTGAAAATCAATGTTTTATGCAATTCACAGTCAGAATTGAGTGAAAAGTGTTGCAATACTTTTTATTTTCGGGCCATTTGACACAACAATAATTATTATGAAAAAACAGGGTGAGGAAATGATCACAAGTAATTAGTTGATGCCTACATCAAATGGTACACTCTCGTTGTGTCAAAAACCTCCGTGGAGTCCCTTTAATGTGATAATGTATCATCTGAGAACTTATTTTAAGGGCAATAACTCTCATCATATTAAGAATTACACTTCTTGTACAAGTTTTGATCACTTGTCTAACATTAACAAAGACTTAACAAGATAACCTTTAGTATCAAGAAATTTTTTAGATGTCAGAATTTGGCTTCAGTGCTACAGTGGTCATAATTTGGTCATATTTTTTTATAAAAAACTATGTTAGCTGAAAAATGACACAAAATATACAAACCTCTCCCTCAGTGGATGGTACTACATCAGAATATCTTGATTCACAAATTACATCCGATAATTTCCTAACAGGACCAGTAGGAATTCCTGGGAAAGATCTTGCACAATCATATGCAAAATAACGGTACACATTCCACGAATTTCCAAAATCAAATGACCTTTCAACATACATAGCTTTTGGTCGGAAAGTTTTAAATGTCATAATTAAATGAGTAAAATGAAATTCTGCCTCCAAATCTAATTGAATGTAAGCGCTCTGGACACCATTTTCTGCCTGCCACCACTTAAACTTTCTCTTGCGAAAAGAGGAAACAATATTTTCAATCCTATGACTGTCACTATACTGTTGCGACCACGGTTGTCTCGAGTCACATAGAAAACATTTTTTGTCATCATCTAAATGGCTGACAATACAGTATCTCTCTTGTCTATCCATACCACACGTGGAATTTGTCGTGAGATTACCCTCTCGTCCAATCAACAAATCACCTGTTGCTGGGTAACAACTGCCCTGTTCACATTGAGGCTGACGGCTGCTCTGGCTTATTGCACCTAAAATGAATATAGACATTAGAAAATTGATAATTAATCATAGAAATTGTCAAAATTTAAATGAGTTGTGTCACAACAAAACCAACATAGTGCATTTGCAACCAGCATGGATCCAGACCAGCCCGCGCAGTCTGATCAGGATCCATGCTGTTCGCTATCAATTTCTTTACTTGTTATAGAGTTGGTAAGCGAACAGCATGGATCCTGATCAGACTGCGCAGGCTGGTCTGGATCCATGCTGGTCGCAAACGCACTATGTTGGTTTTGTCGTGACGCGGCTCATATGCTTCCAAAGGTAGAAGAATGTAACTATCAAATTTGTGCTTTTTAATTATTCAAGAAACATCTCTTGGACATTGAAAAATGTGTTACTTAAAATAGATTTAGTAGCTACTTATATTGTGGCCTCGATTGTCAATAAAAGTTGTTACATGTGTTTTAAATTACATGTAAATTTGAATATTTTCAATCTTGTTCTATTAACTAAGGTGGAGGGGCAGGGGCAAACATTGACTGGGCAAGCAGTAAATTACTGTAATTTTTTTCACTTAATTGGGAAGAGGCCTTTAAGCCTCTTGATTTTAAGAAAAAAATTATCGCTAAAATTGCTAATTTGGGAAGTTAAGTTCAGATTTTTGGGAAAACTGCATGATTCATAGAAAATTTCAATTGGGAAGAGGACTTTTATCGGAGTCTGTTATATCAGGGCTCATCCGGAAGGGCGATTCAGGCGAAAACTTCGCCGTGTATATTCCAATTTCGCTCTTCCGATTGATCAAAGAGAAGTCAACATCGCCGATAAAATCTTAATTCCCAAATAGTAATTACTTAGCGATGTAAAGAGCAGAGATTGTATCCGCCCATATGACGACCGTTAATTATCATTATCCAATCAGAGCGTCGCTTTATACTACCCTTCTACCTGTAAGCGAAGCGATAGACCGCCTACTCTAAACAGTAAATAATGAGAGCATCGGCCCGAAACGGTATAATTGTGTGATAGTTTTGCGAGTTTGATACGGGATTTGGCGATAATTATACATTGTTTTTTCCCCGATTATCTAAACACGTGCAATCTTCCCTAATTGATATACACGATGCACTTCGATGGTGGGTTTTTAACCCGAGTAAAGGCGATGTGCAATGGATTTTTCACGGCTATCACAAAACTGTTAGTCAATTAAAAATAATGATCAGCGACCGGATTAAAAACTTCATCATAGTTTTGAATGATTTCAGTCTGTTAACATCAATTTGTACTGTAAAATTGTTATGTCGCTCACCTCATGGCTACAAGGCGAAATGCCGAAACCGAGCAGTAAGAAAGTTACTGATTCTGATAGTTACGCGAAAATTTAAGAAAGCCAATTCGCAAAAATCTTGCGATTGGTATGTTGAAGACAGTGGGGGTGTTTGGCATTGTTCTCTTTGTAGAAATGCCAAATTTGACACAGTTTACGCACGTGGGCACGACATCCCGGCTAAACTACATATCGGTCGTATATCATGTAACGTATATAGCAACAAAATTTGTCAGAAAAGAAGTGTTCTTATTGTTTCAATATATATATTTGTTTAAATGTCGTAAATATGATGCTCAGATTAAGATTTATCAATATTGTAAATTTTAAAAAGCATTATTTATAAAGATATTACCGAATTTAACATTTCATGAAAATAAAGGGAGGTAATTAGAAATTAATTTTCTACAATTTCTCAGTCAAATTTTTCAATAAGAAATGAATGTATGTAATTTTAAAGATCAAATATAATGTGCACAAATGTTTGCAGTACATATTTTACATATTCTTTGATGTTTGAAAATTGTTTTATAAGCATAATTATATGCATATAAATGTGACATTACAACATTTTGGACATAGACAGAAAATTCTGATACCAGAACAGAATAGAACAGATATTTAATATTAATCAATATCCAATGTGACTTCATCTTATATTAAAAGTGAGGAAAGTAAAATAAATGAAATTGATTTTATCATCATATCTTTTCTTACACATTATTATCAACAAATGTACATGAAAATATATAAACACATATTTAGAGAAAGCTTATAAATAGCTGATCAATAGATATCAAAAATAATTTCTTAATTTCATATTTGCAGCTCAAAAACATTTAGATACCATTGCCAGATCTACTACTAATTAATCTACTTTTAATTAAAACTACTATTAATTAATCTACTATTAATAAACTGGAGAAATATTATAAGTGATGTTAATTGTGTTTATATTATAATTAAAGGATGTATAGCCATGCATGTTAATGCATACACATAGGGTTGTTTCCCTTCTCCCTAATTTTCGCGAGGAAGTCACTTCTCCCTAAAATTTCCCCCCAGGATGAGCCCTGTATATAAGCTGTAAAATCACTGGCAAGATAAAGGGTATTTCATGTACATGTATATACTAATGTCATATATAGTGAATCCTGACAAATCAATCTTATAAAAGCTATAATAGAAAAAAAACATAGAAAAAACTTGTTTTATAACATAAAAACACTTAAAATCAGATTTGTACTTCAAAGGCTATAATGTAAGGTATGTGAAGTCCAGGGTCAATGACCATTTTAGTATTTTTGACTAGAATTTCAAGTGGATGTCATAAACTCAACCCTCTTCAAACAATTTACCTCTTGTGACTATCTCCTACACCATTTTATATCAACAAATAAATACTGTAATAAATTACCGTTTACCATATGTATTCTAATTAAATTGTTAAAGTAAAAATTTAAATCAAACTTGACTACATGTAATATCAAGGTATCTGTCAGTGTGTTATAGATAAACTACACTCAATTATAAACAAATTAATGCTTTAACAGTGTCTTTATCATCAAACATTATTCTATTCGTTATTACTATAACACTGTAATTTTACCCTATTCTACTTTCTTTTTAATTTCCACTTTCCAAAATATTGATAGTTATAAAGATTTTTGACAGGTTAAATGTGGTTTTCATAAAGAAATGACGGTTATATTGCAAACAACTATTTATATTGGGCCATATAAATGGTCAAGAAGCTTTATAACAAATTTATAAAACAGTTAACTTCTGGTTTTTTATTACATTTTTTATTTCCTTTTGGTAAGGATTTATATCGCACCAAAACAGTGAGGGTCATATGACTTTCGAGCTTTACTGGTGGAGGAAGACCTCAGATGCCTCTCCCTGCGTTATTTCAGACCCGAATGGTACCGGAGAAGAACCACTGGACATTACATAATTTAGCTGCAGATATCTAAAGTCTCTGGCAGGATTCAAACCTACAGCTGTGAAGGGTTTTATTAGAGAAAGAAATGCAATTACTTTATAAATTAACATAGATTGATAGATAGATATTCTTTCATTCCTCCAAATTTGAAGAGTTCAACTTTGTTTACAGTTAAAAGAGGTGCAATTACAAGAGGAAACCTGGCACATTTAATTTCTCATTAAAATGCTCAAAGTGATCAAAGAACTACTAACTACAGTACAGTAGAATAAATGAACCACAAAGCGTTCATTGTAAACTTGTTTTGAAGTTGTTTTCTGTGGTTACATACATTTATATATCATTTTATACTATTTTGGTAAAAGCCAAAACTAGACATTTTATACATTTCTTACATTATAATTTAGGATTAATCTTATGACAGTATTTCAAGTACAACTTTGCCAGACCTATTTACATTTATCATTCCAAATATTTTGGCAGTGAATAAATATTCCTAAATATTTATATATACTTATTGCTACAGATAAAACAATCTATTTTTAGAAGAATTTATGCTCTTTCTGCTTTTAAGTTTAGAAATTATTTATAAAATGACCACTTAGATTTTTTTTTAAGTTTTACAAAGAAATAAAAATCATATTTTGTACTCCTATGATGTTACATGTATCTGATTAAATAGGAGTGCTCAGATTGACCCAAAGGTAGGTAGAAAAAAAAGCACATGCAAAATGCTGACTAAGATCTTAATAAAGCTCTATTTTATCCTAGAGAGAGCACATGTATATAGAGGTTAGTTCTTTATCAGTTGATGCGGGTCTGGGAGGATTTCACAAGTTATTCAAAATCTCTCAGCATCACAGCAACAGCTGTACTTCATCTTTTACTGGTGAAGCCTCTAAAACATACCTAACTCTCTAAGTCTATTAGACTTTGTGAATTACAATGTTTGTGCATGCATTTACCTCATTTTTTTCTCGCTTTTTTCGAGGGGGTGGGGTCATTAAAAAATTATTTGCTTAAAATATAGAATTGGATCATGTTGAAATACCTTTACTTCTGACACTTGCTTGAAATATAACAAGGGCAATGTGTTGTGTTTTTTGTAAGACATTAAATTACAGTCTCAGCTTTCTTTTGTCTCGGCCCCAGAATAACAATCAAATTACATGTGATGGCAACAATATCATTCTGAATGCTATTTTAGTTTTTCAGAACAACATTATTATTCTGAATAACAAAAATAGCAGTCAGATATATATTAACTTACAGGTTTTTTTCCAGGATTTTGGGAACATGACCCTGGAATTGGGAGTTTCAGCAATGTTTTGTCAAAAATTGGGAAAAAGAGGATAATTAAAATTTGCAGTGATTTAAAAGAATGCACGGAATCACTGTCCAGGATCACAGGTGGCAGTATCAGTGTTTGGACACCCCACCCCTATCTGCCCCTGGACCCCTACTACAACCCTGAAAAAAAAATAATTCAACACTCTAAGAGTAACTATAAGGTACCAAATACAAAACCACCGAAACCATCTTCAAACATTTAAACACCAAATCAGTGAAGAAGCCCTTATTTTCAAAGATTTTAGAATTTGTTATTCAATGTTTTTACTTTGAAACTTTTAATTGGGAATTCTTTCCTGTGGATTGGGAAAATAATATAATATTTTCAACTGGGAATATGACCGAATATCAGCTATAAAATAAGCCAAAAAAAATCCCTCATTAAATAATAAAATTATCATTTTTTTAAACATCAATTTTTGTTTAGTCAAAAAAACATCTTCCATATACCAATCCTCCTTCTACCAGTTCTTCAAGTAAGTTGATTGTTTTTATTTTTCAATGGTTTACTGACAAAGTGGCTATATCATCATAACTTTGTTATAGTTATACATGTATATCTTTTAAAATAGAAGAGCTTGAATGATACATTTCTGAAAAATAACATTTATTTAAAATACTAAATAAAAGAAATAAGTTAAAAAGAAAATAAAATGAATTTTATGCTTAAGTGGAATGAAATATTTCATAATCAATTATAATTATGTATATCAAAAAACATATTTTACAAAAAGAAGACCACAGCAAATGAAAATAAACATTTTTTTTGTAAAAAGAAGACCAAAACAAATGACAACAAACATTTTTGGTAAAAAGAAGACCAAAGGCAAAGCAAATGAAAATAAACATTTTTGGTAATAAGTATCAGGCACTTAAAAAGTGTCAACCTTTTTCTCTTTTGGTGTACTTCACAAATTTACACACTCAATTTCCTTCTTTTGATAATTTCATGGTGCATGGACACACAAACACCCACTTGCTGATAAAATATATGGTCCCACTATAGTAAGCATTACTTTTATAGTTACATGTATATAAAATAAAACATTTCAGGGCTTGAAAACGTTTTCATTTATATTCATAAATTCATTGCATCCGACTGGTGTCAAAGCCGTAGATGAAGGGAGATATATATTATTTGACAGAATAACAGAATATATATAAGTAATAACAATTTTTGACAGAATAACAGAATAAGGTTAGTTTCATTTTAAACAACAAAAAAATCTGATATTTCAGCAAACTATTTCAGTAATGTCTGAATAGTTTCAAACACATTTCTTTAAATTTACTCTCATTTAGTTAAGTTAAAGGAATGTATAATAAATATTAAACTGAATGCATTTAGATGTAATGTGATTATGTTTAATATGTAAAAACAGATAAAATTTGTTGAATCATGAACCTTCCTTAAATTTATGTTTATGTATTACGTAAAAAGTATACATAACTTATTGATTTATAGGAATGTGAGAGATGTAAAACTTTAAAATTAATGTAAAAGGATAATTAAACTGAAGGAGTAAAATTACACCAAAGAGTTAAATTAAACCAAAGGAGTTAAATTAAAACCAAAGAAGTATCAGTAAGCATCTATGAAGTTGTGCAGCCTTTCTCAATGTTAATGAGAAATTGTTTATGTATATATACATTCCAGCTAGCAGCATCATAAGAACATATTAACCATCATCATAGAGCCAACTTACCTTGAAAAGTTGCAAAAACTACCACAAGTAATCCTATATGAACCACTTCCATTTTGCAAGTTAAAATGTGAGATTATATCCTTATCAGTTATAGGTAATCTCTCAGCAGGTTGATACAATGACTAATCCTGACTTATATCACTACAGCAAGGGGAGATAATCCTGTCTATATCCCCACAGCCAGCATTATTGTTCAGCTCTGCAGGAACCTAGAAAATACAAAATTCCTCTGTATAACACTTGAAATAAGTCAACTTTACTAAACCTATTAACAGAAATCTTATTGTAATGAGATTTGAAATTATCACTGAAATATTCTCTACATCAAAATTGTACAAAGTCTCTAATTCTTGCTATAAAATAGTTTAAGATATACTAACTCAATCTGTATTAATATATACTGTAGGTCATTCTCCAAACAGACATATCTATGCCACAATGCATTTAACTTTTTTCCTAACTTTTATTTCTAAGATCATCAATAGGGTTTCCGTTAGTGAAAGATTGGGAGTCTGAGTCATTTACTCAGTGACTTCCAAAATATAACACTTTTCCTTTTTTACATAATGTAATCCTTTCAAATTTTGGAACTTATGAACTTATGGAAGCCCTAGCATCAATGAATATCACGGATACACTGTATTACATGTATGTACAGTGTAGGAAATAGTACAGTGTACGAAATTCGGATTGGAATTCACATGCCTGGTTGAGCTATCAAATTTAAATATTCACTAGCACAAAAGATATTTCTTAGTAGCCCCGAACATAAAAAAAACTTTAAACATCACAAATGTACCATATATGTAAGTGTGAAGTCAAGGTGATAACACATGCTTTGTTGGCTCTGCCAAATAATACTTGTAATTAATCTATTTGGACATTTTTGTGGCTGAAATTTATATGTGGATGTTACTTATAAAATGGACTTTGTGATGGACTATAAAAAGATAGTGAGTGTTATATAGGTTTTTTGTAATTTATTGATAAAAGTTCAGGATAAACATATGAAAGAGTATAAATACCATCAAGTTTATTCAGCCATAACAATAGTGGAGTTATTTCTTGTATACCAGTATACCTGTGTCGTTACATAATCAGGTTAATCTTATCAAGTGGACAAGTATACACTAACTGTAAAACTAACTGTAAAAGTATATATGACAATACATTTCAAAACTAGAATGTTTTGAAGATTTTTTGTAGCTTGTGAATGATCATTACTAGGAAAAGCCTTTGATATTTTCACACATCGGAACACATAGGAAAAATGGGGATTGACATTAATGCATATAGAGCCAGAATTTGACTTTTCAATATTAACTTGAGACACACAAAGAAAAGGATAAAAGCTAGAAAGTATAAGGCAATCAACAAGGGTAGTGACATCCATCTACGAGCTGTTGCATGCTGTACAGTTCTGCTATGCACTGTGACAATGTGGTGTCTTTTATCACAAGGATTTTGCTATTTGATAGAAAAAAATGCTTTGCCCTATATTAATAATGAAGTGTCCTGTGAGAAGACATATATAGGCTTTACAAAAACTTCCCTAGCCACATCGAACGGGCATACATGCAACTGCTTTACCAATAATTATGACAATAAATACATAGGTTATTCGGAACGCTTATTAATTTTATCAGCCGATGTTGAGGAAAATCCAAGACCTGGAAATTGACAAGAATCTATGACAGATGAAAATACACTTAAAATTTTAAGAGCTATATCTGAAACAAAAGATGAAATACGAGATGTTAAGTTTGAGCTAAAAAGTATGAAATCAGAATTAGTATATTTGAAAACTGAAATGAGCATGATCAGGTCAAAAGTTACTACAATTGAGGAAAATCAGCAATATCTAGAGGAAAAAGTCAGAGAAATTGAAAATGGATATGAAATGTTGAAATATAGTCAAGATGTAGTGAATTCTGATATAAGTTCCTTATCAATGGCGGAAGAAAAACGTGAGGAAAGGCTTAGTAATATTGAAAAGCAGCTGATGATAACTGAATCGGAAAGGCTGAAGTGTTCACTGAGAATTTTTGGACTGAAAGAGATTGAGGAAGATAACACATCACTCAAAGGTTTGATAGTTGATGAAGTTCTTAGTGTATTTAGAAGTGATGAAGTTAATCTAACTTCTGAAACAATATTGTTTGCCAGACGAATAGGGGAAAAATCCGATGAAAGTGCCAGGATGGTAATAACGACTTTTGCGAATAGTGAAGATAAATTCAGGTTATTTAAGTATAGAGATGTCCTGCGTAGTAGAGGAATTCGCATCTCCAATGACTTGTCATTCATACAACGCCAACAATTGAAGGAGATAAAGCAGGGTGGTTTGCAAGGTTATTTTAGAAATGGGAAATTGCATACATACAAGCCTCAATCTAGTACTGAATACACTGGTAATACTCGAGTTTTCAAGCGAGCTTCTCGTCAAGTCGACCATCAAAATGACATAGGCCCAACTGATCAAGATATCATGGAGACAGGACCTAGTGTTATTGAAAGTCAGCAAATCAGCAGCAATGATCCTAATCTTAGTAGGAGATAGGATGGAGGTCAAAGCCCAGCACATTCATGTAAATCACTTAAATTACTAACATGGAACATAGAAAGTTTTAAATCTAAAATGTGTAACTATACAATAAAAGATATGTTATCATCTTTTGATATTTTTGGACTACAAGAAACATGGGACCAAGATTCTGACTATCAACAAACTGAATTTCAAGACTATACCTTATTTTGTTGCAATGCAAAAAGATCAAGTGCTGGAGGTAGACCTATGGGCGGTGTTTCAGTATTCATCAAAATGACTTATTACCTTATATAAAACGTGTATGTGAACTTTTTGAGTTTGGTGTGGTGCTATTGATTGAAAAGTCTCTTTTTTCTCTTAGTAAAGATGTTTTATATGTATGTATGTATGTTCCCCCAGAGAATTCACCTTTTTATTCTGGTATATTTAGCTCTGGTTTGCAACAACTTGAAGAATTTATAGTAACATATCATTATTTAGACTATGAGTTACTGATAAATGGAGATTTTAATGCCAGAACAGGCTGTATAGCTGATTATACATTAGGGATACAAATATTCCAGAATTGAATGAATATAATGATATTCTTGATGGTGACATTGGCATGCAAAGGCTTTCTCAAGACACAAAAATTAATAGACTTGGAAAAGAGTTGATTGAATTTTGCAAAGTATATTCATGCTATATTGTAAATGGGCGATTTGGGGGTGATGATTTCACATTTGTCAATCAAAATGGGTGTAGCACAATTGATTATTTTATTGTCTCTAAAAATATTTTAGAAAAGGTACAGAAATTTGAAATTTTGACAAATGTAGAAAGTAGTCATTTACCGTTAAGCCTTTGGCTACTGACAGATAATTATATATCAAATGATAAAGAAGGAAATGATTATATTCATTATTATTATTCACTAAATGAAAACAACTGTAATGAATATTTGCAGTGTATAACTGAAAATGTATTAAATGGGTGCCTTGATACAGCTGATAAATTGATAGATGATAAAGAGTCTAATGTAAATGATATTTTATTTGAATTACAAAATGCAATTTGTCTTAGTAGTCAATCATTTTATAATATTAAAAGGAAATTTGCTAATAAAGATAAAAAGTGGTTTGATCAAGACTGTAAAGAGGCCAAGAAATATTGTAGAAAGAAATTGAATGATTTCAGATTAAAACGATGTGCTAACAGCTTAAACAATTATCGAGGGCTGAAAGCGAAACTAGTGTAAGTGCATTTTCAAACATTTTACAGGAGAAGGAAATAACTGTTTAAATTTATTATTACTAAATATTTTAACTAAATACTACAATTATATGTGCAAATCAATTTTTTTTCACTACTTCTTTGTTTTGATTTTCAGATTCATTCATCACAGATAAAAATATTATAATAAACGTCACTTAGAACAGTTTCACGCTAAAAAACTTTTTAAAATGTTTAAAAAATTGAATGTGAAAGGTGTGTAAGTGCAGTTACTCAAGATTATTTTTTCAACTATTTATACCTCAATTAATGTGGTTTTGGTTCTAAAGAGCTGTTTTTTTTATAATATCCATCTTTTTTGTAAAATGTCAGTTACATTGTTTTCACATTTATAAATGCAGACATTTGAAAGTCTGTCATTGTCACTTACATACTGGTAGGATCAGCTCAACCAAAGTTCCAAAAGTTATCTAAGGGGAATAATTGAAAGAATTAAGTCTGGTGTTAAATTTTATTCAATGGGGTTTATTAGTGAAATAAAATCTGTATCACTCACAGTTTATCTCTGACATAGGGGAATATTGGTTTAGAAAGCAATTCGAACCACAATTTGGTTCCACATTGTCATGTTACTTTGTTATAATAATCACTCAAGTCTGAGGTTAAAAAGGCCTTGTGTTAAGTCAATTCCAGGTCTTCATAGATATGAACTATAAATACTTACTTAAAAAAATACTATAGCATATTTTGTAAGTCATGTTCTTATGGGATTTTGCAAACATTGGAAACAATGATAACAATGTTATTTTAAATGTTTCATTTCAATTAAGCTTTAGTGAGAATTCATAAGTTTGGCAAATTTAGTATGCAATTTATCTTTAAGTAAATCATACAATTATGACTTTCATTCACTAATGTAAAAACAGAAGTAAATTTAAATGCATATGGACATGATGACTACCGGGGTAATGTCTTCCCTACTTTTTTACGAAGATTACGGATTAACCTGGTCACCCTACTCAGGTTATCTGAGAAATTCATACATTCATTACAGATACATTTGTTTGCTCAAATAACTTATCATAAATATTTCACACACAGGAGTCAATAATTATGATTTTACTATGTTAATTTACTGTAAAGTATTTAATTACAGGTGATAAGGCTAATTCATTTGTGCCAAATGGCATTTTAAATGCACTGCTGTCACATAACCATTGATCTGCACCGAAATAGTTAACTTTTGCACCACCATTTACATCATCATTTGTACCCATTGCAATTACAGTGGTGCAATAATTGAAATCACAATTATTGGTTTGACCTTTATGATTTGTGGCACAATTGATATGAAACTTTTTGTGCAAATGATAAATTCTAATTTGCCCAATTGGCACATTTGCAATTGCCCAGGTGATACAATTCTAATAAATTACAGTTTACCATTGT